TGGGCATGCGTACTCAGCAGCAGAGTAGCATAGCGCAACGGCAGATGTCTTCACTGTGTCTGGTTATGGGAGCATTCTTAAAAAATAAAGAAAGACTGACTTTTTTCCTAATATCAGTTACCAAACTGATATTACCAAACATCCACAAACAAGCTATGCCTTCTTCAAATAACCAAGGCATCGCTGGATCCCCATGCTAGTAAATAAATAAAAATGAACTGTTGTTTAGTTCCTGGATCATGCACCTCATTCTTTCTTCCAACATCTATCTATGGTTCCACCTATTTGAACTCCTTTGCTTCAAGCCCCAACAGCCTTTTATTGCTTCCCAGGTATCCTCCAAATCTTGTGCACCCCTCTCCACAACATCACAGCTGTATGCTGTGGCATGCCTGCTGAGGAGTTGATCATTTGACAAAAGGTCTTAGAGAACTACGTTTTCCAAAACAATGCCCAGAATCTCCCCTAACAGCATGCAATCTTTCTAAGCTCCTATGCAGATGTTGCTTAACATTAATGCCCCCCCCCCCCGGGTGGTTTAATGGGTTAAACCGGCATTTCTCAACCTGGGGGTCAGGACCCTGGGGGGGGGGGGTTGCGAAAGGTGTCAGAGGGGTCGCCAAAGATCATCAGAAAACACATTATTTTCTGTTGGTCCTGGGGTTCTGTGTGAGAAGTTTTGTCCAATTCCGTCGTTGGTGGGGTTCAAAATGCTCTTTGATAGTAGGTGAACTATAAATCCCAGCAACTACAACTCCCAAATGCCAAGGTCTATTTCCCCCAAACTCCACATTTGTTTGAGTCCACATTGCTCTTTGGGTRTAGGTGAACTACAACTCCAAAACTTAAGGCCAATGTCCTCCAAACCCTTCCAGTATTTTCTGTTGGTCATGGGARTTCTGTGTGCCAGGTTTGGTTCAGTTCCATCGTTGGTGGAGTTCAGAATGCTCTTTGATTGTAGGTGAACTATAAATCCCAGTAACTACAACTCCCAAATGACAAAATCAATACCCCCCCCCCCAAACTCCATCAGTATTCAAATTTGGGTATATTGGGTATTTGTGCCAAATTTGGTCCAGTGAATGAAAATACTTACATTATGATTCATAACGGTAGCGAAATTACAGTTATGAAGTAGCAACAAAAATAATTTTATGGTTGGGGGTCACCACTACATGAGGAATTGTATTAAGGGGTCGCGGCATTAGGAAGGTTGAGAACCACTGGGTTAAACCTTTGTGCCAGCAGGACTGCTGACAGACAGGTCGGAGGTTTGAATCAAGGGAGAGAGGATTGAGCTCCCTCTGTTAGCTGCAGCTCCCCATTCGGGGACATGAGAGAAGCCTCTCACAAGGATGGAAAAAAAATCAAACATCCAGGCAATTTCCTTGCAGACGGTCAATTCTCTCATACCAGAAGTGACTTGCAGTTTCTCAAGTCGCTCCTGACATGAGAAAAAAAATAACATATTAATAGCAGCAGCAGCCCATTCTTCACCCAGGACGAGGGCCCAAAACAGCTTAGAAATGACACAATTGAAAAAATCAGTACTGAAATACGAATTAAATATGGAAGTGATGTATTGCTACTCACACCTACAACAATCCCGTTTTTCAGCTAAGCCTGATAGGGAGCTTTGCCAAGGCAAAGGTCTCAAAGCCCTTCCTCCCCAATTCATGCACAACAGTTCTTGATAGATCTAGATTAATACAGATCAATCATAATAAAAACAACACAGAGCAGACTCAGGCTTGCCTTTCGTCTACAAAGATGTGATCGTTGTCCTAGGTCTCCATGAAAGCATGAGTCAAATTCCATCAGCTTGGCAGATGCAACTCTCTGACTAAGGCAAACTGGACGCAGGGAGATTGGCAAGCGAGCCATTCTTGGAGACACCCACCACTGTGGCTCATCCAAATACCCCACTAACTGTGTGTGTGTG